ATGGTTCAAGCGTTTCAAAAATCAATAAATTTTCATAATAGCCACAAAACCAGATCAAAAACACAAAAAAAATATATAAAAAATCATTATTTTAACACGGCGCACGAACTTTTTCCTCAACCTAATAGACACTCACATCATAAACTTGATCATTTAGAAAATCTTTCATTTGACTGAGAGCATCATTTTCTAACGACACATATTTCGATAAAACATAAATATACTTGGATGAAATTATTTTCGTTTGTTTATCATCGTTATTTAATGCTAAAACTAAATTACCAATTGTTTTATTCGTTATTTGAACTCATTTTTGAACAGACAATAAAATCAGATTAGCAGTGAGTAATGAAATTTGATTACAATGTTGATTCTGCTCGGAACGTTGTGTAAAAATTATTTTTGAATTATTATTTAATTGAACAACATCGTTACTCTCTAATTTGAAAGATAACTTTTCCAAATCTTGTTGGTTTTGAATATAATTGTTTTCATGGATAACACGACTTAGTATAAGGAGAATATAATTTGAAGAATTTTCGTCAAAATATTCTATATTATCAATTAATTTTTTCACTATTTGATTTGATAACAAATTTTGTTTTTCAGCAATTATTAGTATAGACGTAAGCATGGAATTAATAAGATTAGTACTTTAATTACTCGAATCTTTAACGTATTGAATCAATAATTTCAAATGTTCATCCCTCAAAGCCTTGTTTGTTTCATGTTCTAAATAATTATTAATTATCTCGATAATATCTTCTTTTATTTGAGTATCATAGATGTCACTATTTAACAAATCAATTAATTTCGAAAGTATTTCATCAGTAAATAATTCTTGACTTCGTCTTGCATCTCTGGCTTGATTATTCAGAAAATTAATTATCATCTCTTGGTTTCCACGTGTTCCACGTACTAAAACATCGATATATGCTTCAAACGTTTCTTTATAATCAATTTCATTAGTTGAATCAGCTATGTTCATTATTTGAAATATTAATTTTGCAAATTTAACATCATTTTCTTGATAATTTGTTAAACATTTTTGAATTTTCTTGATTCTATCCTTGGTAAGAACTTGTTTGTTTCGAATTGAACAATTATGTATGGCATTTAAACTGTCCAATCTAAGTTGATTTATTTCATTTTTTATTATTTCCGCTAGTTCATTTTTATTAAACTGTTTTTATTTCGCTTTAGTAGAATTCCATACCCATCCTTGATCTGGAACAACTTCGATTGTTTTGTCCATAATTTTCTTAATAAAAATAGTTGCTGTATCCGGTTCGTTTAATCCCTTGAATTCATCATAATCATCATGTATGACATTAACAACTAAGTCTACCATATCATCGTTACAATGCAATGCAATTGAAACAAAAGAATCTAAGTCAGTTGCACACATCATTAGTTTATCGATAGCATCACTATTTAATTGTTGCTTTTTTGATGCTCGAAGCAATGTAGCAACAATCATTCTGTTAATAAAAAATGAATAAACTTTGTTTCTCCTTCTAATTCTTAAAGGTCTGTGTGATAGGTCATTTTTATTAAGGCAGACATGCCAGTCAAATAATTTTTTTGGTAAATAATTATCTTTATCATCACTTTTTAATGCTTGTCCTTGTGATACTACTAATGAGTAAAAATTAACACATTCTCCCCAAGTACTTCTCCACATTGATCTATCATCGTCAATTGTATCATTTACAGTATTAATTTTTTCTAATGTTGTTTTCATGTTTAGCATTCTGTTTCGATTTTTTAGTGCATCTGATAAATTCAAAAAATATCATTTTTGTCTCTTCGGACTCTTTATTATTATAACTTGATTTTACAGTTTGTATTGTTTTAGTAACTACTAGTTTATTCATTTTTTGATTGCCATTAGATTTACCTGCTGATTTAAATCGATGCTCAGTTTTTAGCTGATCATTGTGGTCAACACTTTTACTGATTTCTAATCGAGTTAATAAAAAACCTTTTGCTTCTTCATTTATATCAAATCTATTTAGCATCAAACTACTTAGTTCATTAATTAATTCGTTGTCTAATGTTGATTTTTCAGTCATATAAACCAATGTATAAACAAGTTGACTCTTAACAGACTCATCTTTACGTCGTTTTATCCAATCGATGACATCAGAATATTGGATTTCTTTTATCAATTGTTCGCTATTTCGAGTTAAATATTTTAACGATAAGCATAGAAAATATTGAACTTGTTCATCAACATTACCATCTAAGTCTTTCAAATATTTACTGAATTGATTTAACAGATTTGTATGCACATGTCCCAATTCGTCGAATGTAATTGTGAACTTGCGTATGTAATATGCAAATTTCTTCGATTCTTCTAAATGAAATAATTTGCCTTGCTTGTAAGAACATTTTAATTGGTTAATTGCAACTGTTTTATCAAATTCACATTCGATAGATCGCTTGAATTTATCCGATTCAAGTTTTTGAAATTTTCTTACTGCTAGTGCTGTTCTTATAACTTTTCGAAATCGTAGGGGTTCCTTAGATGGTTGACTTTCATTTTTAGTTTTGCAATTTGTTACTGTTTTTAACAAGGCTTTAAATGTTCCAGAAAACATGCCGGTGTGAGATTTTGTTTATCTAATAATAAAATCTGAAATTAAATTGGAAAAAGAAATGAAACAAACCTATTTATTATATGAAATAATAAACAGTATAATAGAACACATTGAGTCGAAACGTTGCGTTAGAAATATGTTTTCGGCGATGTTGAGACCGATTTTTATGATTTTCCAACTGTGTCTGTGAGTACGTTCGCCCGCGTACGATTACAGAGTCAATCCCCACCTAATAGAACTAGCCTTCTATTACTTTAAATAATTCAATACTGCACTTGTAAATGAAAGTAAAATTTGAAAAAATAACGAATATCGGATCCTCAATGATCATATTTCTCTCTCAACACTTAAACCATATCAAAACTCAAGACGATAAGTTTTGGATTTTTGCATTTTTTTTATGAATGCAATGATGAGTAGAAAGAGTAGATCGGTTCACAAAATTAAACTAAGCACGCGATTATTAAAAGATTTTAGGATGTAGGAACAGCTTAACAAGTATTTTCAGATAACTGTAGACAGAAGGAAATAGGAAAATGACATACTGTTAAAAGCCTCTTTTTTTCTCGAAGCAATATCACCCTTAAAATTTCTCGTATTTTTTAACTGTAAAAAGCAGTTTTCAATGATGACCAGCGTATACTCTATAGAATGTTCTAAAAATCTCAAATAAACAGGCTTTGCTACGTTTGAAATTGACCGTATAGTACCGAATCCTCTCATCTTCTTCTCTATAATGAAAAATAGATGATGATATTATACGTACAAATAAATTACAAACGTATGTGGATATCGCACTCACTTTATTGAATTAGTCTATCTTCGCCGAATTTAATTTCCCCGACTGATAACTTCACCGACTCCAACATCGCCAACTAAAAATTTCACCGACTGATTTCGAAAACGAAAATTACTGAATCCGATATGAACTATTCTAGATATAGAAGTTCACTTAAATTAATTAGTTTATTGGATTATGAATTGATTATCAGCTGAGTTGGTAACCATCTGGGTTGGCAACCAAGTCAGTTGAACATGTTGCCTGCTTGAAAAACAGATGCCACCAGATGAAGGTTCCCTCTCTTCTAATGTTTTAATAAAATATTGCTGGCGATATTAGAAGCCTGACATTTTGTTAAAACACTAGAAGAGAGGAAACCTTCATCTGGTGGCATCTGTTTTTCAAGCAGGCAACATGTTCAACTGAGTTGGTTACCTACCCACATGGCTACCAACTCAGTCCCAGATGGCTACCAATCCAGATGGTTACCAACTCAGATGATAATCAATCCATAATCCAATAAACTAATTAATTTGAGTGAACTTCTATATTTAGAATAGTTCATATCTAATTCAGTAATTTTCGTTTTCAAATTCAGTCGGTGAAATTTTCAGTCGGCGATGTTGAAGTCGGTGAAGTTATCAGTCGGCGAAAATGGAATTCGGCGAAGTTGGAGTCGGCGAAAATCGTCGTCGTCGAAAGTGGACTTTACCACTTTATTACCCACCTTCGAATAGACTGAATAAAATTATCTATACATATCTCGTTCTGTTCTTTACAAATCAACATGGACTGCACAAACAAACACAATCTCTCTGCTCCCAAGAAACTATATTCCTTTCGCTCTGTTCTCTTTAAAGCAAAATTGAGGTCAATTGAGGCCATCCAAAAAAGGTTTCGGAGATATCGACGAGCATCGAGATGCATTTTAAGTCAAACAAAATATATAAAAAATCTTCGCAACGCTTTTTTCTCTACGAGTCAATATCGACTGCACAAAAACATGTTTTTGCCTTCTTCTCCTAACATTCTATGTTTATCTCATTCTGTTCTCTGTAAGTCAATACTGACTGCAGAAAAAAATTTCTTCTTCGCTCGCACTAATTTATAGTTTCGCAATGACTGCATTGATTTCTTAGAAGACGATCCATCTGTCTGACATCTAGACAAGGGGGAAAAAGCTGATTTGAAGCTCTTTTCGATTTTGGCCGATTTTGAACGATTTAAATCGATTTTGGACCACCGAAATCGATTTCNGGTTCTAGTCCACTGCGATAGATTTAAGTCGATTTCAAATCGATTTCAAGCGATTTTGTGGCTCAAAATCGATTTGAACTGATTTAAATCGATTTTGACCGATTCTGTCACTCAAAATCGATTTTCAGTCATTTTCAAGGGGAGAAAAGCTGGTTTTGGGTGTCAAAATGACTGAAAATCGATTCTTGCGTAATCGATTTTGAGTGACAGAATCGGTCAAAATCGGCCAAAATCGAAAAGAGCTTCAAATCAGCTTTTTCCCCCTTGCATCTAGATTAGATATGAGTAACTTACGATTTAGGCGTGAGGCTAGTCTTGTTTTTAAAGCGTTTGAAAGACATAGTCATCTATCTTAATTATAAATATGATAAATATTGACATAAGTCTTTTTTTAATCAGATCAATATTTGATTATTGATATTCTACGCAACATCACCAAAATAATTATTAATAGCTTTGTGCTATCTTGCAGATGATTTTCGAAAACTTTAATTATCTGTTCTAACTAGAAAATTATTATTATTTTTTTTTCTCTTGTTAATTATTTTTCATAATTTAATGATTGCCTTTTTTTTAATCTAAAGTTCATCCTGAATTCATCCTCAGCCTGCTTTGTTTTGACTAAAATTTTTCTTATTTTTTAGACTGATAAACGATCCAAACTTCGTTTTATATATTGAATACTTATCGTAAGTTTGATTTGATTATTTTTAAAGAAGCGATTAATTGATAATAAATCATGTTTTTAATTAAAATACATTCGTTTTGTTTTTAATTTTAGTGCATATGAAAAGCTGTGTGTATTTTAAATTTTAAAATATGAACAAATAGATCTAATTCGATCAAAATACGTTTTTGTTTTTCTTTTTTTGATGATAATCATTAGAAAATTCTTATTATTGAAGCAAACTTTAATGATATAACAAAACAAACCCTTAAAATGGCAACAACAGATTTGAATAATACGATGTCAATCAAGGAAAAATTTGAGCGTGGAATATACTCATTAAAATCCATACCCCGCATATTGGACATGGATGTTACGGGCATATATATAAACAAGAATGGACTTTATCCAAACGAAGTCGAATCACTGGAAGACATGGATTGGGAAAGAGATAAACTTTTAACACAAAAGCTTAAAGCAACTAGTTATGGTGATTGGCAATTTCATATTGGAATGATAAATACAAAGCATTTTGAAAATAGAGAAAACCTAGATGATATGTTTGTAAATAAAAGTGAACGAACTATTTCAGAAGCCTGCAAAGATATTGAACGAATCTCAATTCAAAAAGCTATTGGATTATTCGGTACTAAATTTTCATGTGACATGGATTGGTATTTGAAGAATCAAAATGCAATTGAAGAGGATTTAAATCGTAAAATTTTACCTTTGGATTTAAATGATAAATATTTAATGAAAAAACTAGAACAAGAACTGTTTTATAATCAGATGTGTAAATTATTTGGCGAAACTGAAGATGATCATAATAAACCACAAGATGATGAAACAATTTATGAAAAATGTTTTATTGTAAAAGATTTTCGTATACTACTATCGTATGAAAATTATATGTTTGCTAGCGCTAAACGAGGAAATTATTATCTAATATTTCGATATGTGTATTAGCTAAAAATGTTTGATTGCAATTTTTCTTTCAATAACTTTTATTGTATTATCTTGAGTTTAATTAAATAAACTACCATAATCTATACTTCCATCACTCTATAAAAAAACTGTATTTCAGTTTCAATCAGCATCCATCTCTTGAGGATGAGGGTGTACAATTAGAATCACGTTACTATTCGAAACCACAAAATGATATTGATATACATCTGGATAATAATTGTTTCTTTGTTCCATTCAAATTACAAATTTTCTATTCAATTTGAAAAAATTTTTATGTAAGAACTTGTTATATTTCATGTATATAGGGTATTTTCTGTACCAAGGATAGTTACTTGGATAAAACCCCTTTGAAATTCAGTTTTTGTCGATCTTAAACAAACTATTACATCACGCGATACCATGCCTCGCGACAACAGTATCATATAAATTCCGACATCAACGTCATATATTTTATCTGTTTATTTCATAACGTCATGGAATAGCCAACACGGTTATTAAAGTTAATTAATTTACCCAGATTGATCTAACCGAATCTCAGGTCAAAATCCGGTCAACCACATGATCTACCTATAGACATGTGGCAATATATAACATCCGATAATTAAAAAGCAGTATCAAATTAATAATTCTTTAAAAGAAGCAAGAAATGAATATTACAAAACTAAATTATAATTTTAGCTTGCAATTCCAACAAATCTATTAGCAGTAATAATCGTAATACAAGAAAATAAAGACATTTGATTTATAAGGTAAATCCTCATAAGTGAACACCATATTATTATCCATCCAACTAACTAAAATAAATCAATAAATTAACCCTAATCAATATTCGACAACTCAATGCCAATAAAACCTTAGTGAAAGAACCAACACTTAAAAGAAAACAATGCTCAAAATCCAAATATTGTAAATTTTCTTAATAATCAACTAAACCTATATTGGAAATTCCCTTTAGCCATCGTAAGAACAAAGCTACCGTTAATATAGAGTGAATCAATACATCTGGACCATTCTTTTATCGGCATACGTACGCTTGAACTCAATAGGCAAGCATTAGATTCTCTAGCTGTAAACCAGATTAGGCCCCGCTTAACCAAACAGGTTTTTAACCGAGTCAGTACTTTTTGATCTTGGTCATTGGGAGTAGTCATGATTTAAAAATAACAGAAAGAAACTGTTTCGAAGTGTTTGTTTCGAAAGTCGCTCTTAACTGCTACTAGGTGAGTTAGAGAATGATAAAAGAACAAGTGCCTTAATAAAAGAATCCTTGGACTCAATATTAATCAAAACTTGATAAGTGAAATCAGACAACTTGAATCCAAGGATTCTTTTATTAAGGCACTTGTTCTTTTATCATTCTCTAACTCACCTAGTAGCAGATAACAGCGAGTTTCGAAACAAACACTTCGAAATAGTTTCTTTCTGTTATTTTTAAATCATGACTAATTCCACCATTGTAAGAAAAACCTCAGTCACGTCAACACATCTTATCACTGACAATAGACTAAAAGAGAGTGATAGTAACAATGGTAAGCGAATATACAGTTATATATATATACAACGAGTCATCGTGCCCTTAAATGACAGTTGTTATTTCGCTCAAAATCCATCTGATGAATTCTTCTAACCAAAGAACGAAATGCGTAATGGCAGCCTTCATTACAGTTTAGATAAGGAGTGTTAATCAACACACTTGTTAGGCTCTGATTTATCAAAGTTATTGACAAAGTAGTTCATAAGGCCTCTTGGAAGACGTTGAGCTTCGAATAAGAAGCCACTTTTGCAAGGAAGTATCCGAAAACGCGATTTCGTTAGACAATTGTCATATAAGGGCACGATGACTCGTTGTATATATATATAAATACCAGAAATAATCCGTGGAAAACCACAGACGCCCAGCGTTTATATATATTGTAAAAGTCATTTTTACCGAATGGTAAACCAGTAACATCAATTCCTGTTTCTGCTACATCTGTAAACATCAAGAACAAAAGTTTTTTTCAAATTTATAAAAGATGACTACAAAAGAACTGCAGAGAGCAAACTATTTATGAGAAAAATTAATGATGAGTTAAAAGACTAATCCTGTTAGTTATGGAAATGGATAAACAACTTCGTTGTTTTTTGCCTCTTTCCTTTGCGTTTTTTTTTACTACAAATTTTTCAAATATTATTTGTCCAATGTTGTGGTCTCCTTTTCCTATACCGGTTCTGCTGCTGTTAGTAAAATTTTACCATTTTTTATATTTGAAAAAGTAAAATACTTAGTAAACCCTCTATAATGAACAAGAAAGTTAGGTTTAGTGACATCATAGTATAACTGTTTCGTTACGTTTCATTCGAGAACTAGCAAAGTGGCAATATAAATCTTGAACAATTAATTTATTACAAGTACTGTGTAACAAAAAAATAGAGTAAATGTACTTTCGATCACCAAATTTGTCGGCATGATCTCACATTTTTATTTCTCAACAAAGTATAATGTACAACACAAACATATTCATTGAAATACTAACCAAATGAGCAACGTTTTCACAGTTTTGTTTATATCTATTTACAAATTTAAAGCTGTGCTAAGTTTCTTGGGAGGCCCTTATGTTTTTCGTTTGCCTAATGGTTGAATACACCAGAAAATCATTGAATGTATCGTTGGTCAGATATTTATTGTTCTCGTCAGTGGCTTACATTCAATAATTTTCTGATGTGGCAACAATGCCGCTGTCTTTCGTACTATTAGAATCATGTAGCTGTCCAATTGGCAGGAAAGTATATTCGTATAAACATTCTGTTGGATTAGCAATTGTATTGTATCAAGTTAGCGATAAAGCACGTATTCAACCATTAGGCAAGAAAAGCAAAAGGGCCTGC